ACAGCAGCGGCAGCACAGGAGCTCCTGGAGCACAGCGCTGCCCGGCCCCTTCCCCACCGCAGCCCCTTCCCCACCCCCTCCCCCAGCGCCGCGGCTCCCAGAGGGGCGGTTTGTGGACGGCCCAGGACACGCAGACACACGGCCAGCACTGCAGGCGACGGCTCTGCAGCACTGAGCAGCGCTCACCTGCGTGACGATGGCGTCGAGGCCACTCTGTCCCCACGCGTAATCGCCGGGGTTGGAGTGCAGCATCCCGCTCCTGTGGATGCAGCGTGATGCGGGGTGACGTGGCGGGACGTGGCATGGATGCAGCTTGATGCGGTGTGATGCGGTGTGGGTGCAGTGAGGTGCAGTGAGGTGCAGTGATGTGGTGTGCAGTGAGGGTGCAGTGTGGTTGCAGCATGGGTGCAGCGTGGGTGCAGTGAGGTGCATGTGGATGCAGTGTGGTGCAGTGATGTGGTGTGCAGTGTGGGTGCAGTGTGGGTGCAGTGTGGGTGCAGCGCGGTGCCGTGTGCTCAGCAAACAGCCCTGCACGGCCCCAGCTTCCCACTGCAGACTCGCAGCCGCACTGGGGGCAAATGGGAAGAGTGGCTCCCAGGCACCGGGCAGCTGCTGTTTGCTGCGGTTCTTACTGCTGTTTTTACTGGTGTGCAGTGGCGCACAGGTGCCAGCAGAGGGCCGGGGCGAAGGCAGGCGCAGTACTCACCATGAGAACGGGTGCTGTGAGCCGGGAATGGCCGAGTTGGCGAAGAAGCCCGCGAAGATCTGCTGGATGATGCTGGGGAGGGAAGCAGGAAGGGCTGAGCTGAGCGCCTCTGAGCTGCGCTGCCACCGCAGCGTCACAACTCCGGCCGGCAGCCGTCTGCAGAAGGCTGAGTGCTGGGACACAGCGAGCAGGGGGTGCACGCAGGGTGCATGCAGGGTGCAATGCAGCCTGGACACAGTCTGGATGCAGTGTGGATGTGGTATGATGCAGCATGGATGCAGCGTGGATGCAGCATGGATGCAGCATGGATGCAGGGTGATGCAGCACTGCAGGAGGGGGTGGCGCCCCACACCCTGCCCTCCCCACCCCATCCCACCGCCCCCCGGCCACATGCGCCACATGCATGGGCTCAGAGGCCCCACAGCGTCCCCAGACCGCAGCGCCCCACAGCCAGGACCCCCCAGCGCCGCCCGGCCGGGGGATTCGTACCCCTCAATGGCCGGGGAGCGGTCGGGCCGGGAGCTGCCCCGGGAGCGGAACCTGCGCGCCATGGGCAACCGCGGCGGCCGGCTCGGCCCCCAGAGCTCGGCGTGGGCCTGGTGGCCCCGCTCGTTGTCTCTGCCGTCCTGGTCCAGAGAGCCGCCGCTCAGGAAAGGTCTGAAGTCGGGAAAGAACATGGTGTGGTCCAAGTGGTCCCAGAGCTGCGCGAGAGGGGAACGCGACGCGTCACGCGGCGCCGCTGGTGGCGCTCCGCTCCTCCCTGCCAGCCCAAAGCCCCCCGTGGGACAACACACCTCTGCAAACTGCGCCGAAGGGCCGTCCTCCAGGCCACCGCCATCCAGGAAACTGCGGGGGAACGGACGGTCGGGGGGGGGTCTCCAAAACACCGCAGGAGGGATGGAGGGGGAGGGCAGGAGGGGTGCGAGGGGCACAAAGAGCAGGGGGGGAACGGACCTGAGCGCAGCACGGGGGGGTGGGGACACGGAACGGGGAGGAATGGATCCCAGCTCTGGGGGGGGGTTGGGAGGCGGAGTAGGGAAGGAGGGGAAGGCGCTGATGGCGGCTCAGCACGGCCCCCTTTTGCCGCGGCAGCTCCCCGTCACCCCTCAGCACCGCACGCACCTGGAATCCTCTGTCACCTCTTCGATGAAGCCGGACTCGCACCTGGGGCACGTGTACTCCTGGGGGGAGGAGGAGGACGGGCTGAGCCGTGCGACGTCAGCACAGCAGGACGGAGCCTGGCCCACAGCCACGCAGCACCGCCAGAGCGCAGAGCCAAGGGGGGCGCAGCCGTGTGCTGCAGCACGGACCGGGGCTGCCACAGAGCGGGCGGGGGGCTGCGACAGTGCGGTGAGGGGCCCCACGGCACAGCTCAGCCACGCGCAGCTCTGCCCGATCCCTTTGCGATGCTTCTCTTTGAGCATGAATCCTCCTGGGAACCATTGGGATGAACAGAGGCAGAGGGGTGAGAAGGGGAAGCGCTGAGCTGCGCGGGGTCGGGCGGCAGCGGCTCCGTGTCAGACTGGGCTGGGAGCGACACCCATGGGCGCAGGGTGGGCGCAGGGTGGGCTGTCCAGAGGAGCGCCAGCAGCACTGCACAGCTGCAGCCACACCTGAGCCCGGCGCTCTGCAGGCAGCCAGCAGCAGCCCCGTGCAGCAGCAGCACTGGGCGCAGCTCCCTGGTGCAGGGCCGGAACAGACAGCAACTCACACGCGTTCTGGACTGAGAAGTGAGCGAAACTGCTTTGGAGCAGAGCGCGCCGAGCAAAGCCGAGTGGGTCAGAAGGCGGAACAGCAGAAGGGCAGCGCTGTGCCCTTCTCGCCTGCACCCCCCTCAGCACCGAGATGGAGCAGAGCGGAGCAGAGCGGAGCAGAGCGGAGCAGAGCACCCCACGCCCAGCTGCCCGCAGCCTTCCTCCCCCGCAGCACGGCGCGCCGTCCCGGGCTGCCAGCAGGACGCGGAGCAGAGCAGCAGCACGACGTCCCTCCGCCACCGTCAGCACCGCCGTTTGCCGCCGATCCGCTCCGCCCGCCCCCGCTGTGCGCTTCCTCCCCGGGAGCAGCCGGCATCGCCCTCCCCCGGGGCCGCGCTGCCCCGCTCGGCTCCGCGTCCCTCCCTGCGTGCGGATGGCAGGCAGGCAGGGGCTGCTTCGCCCCCGAGGGCAGAGCACCCGGCGGGGACGGCGGTTCGCAGTCAGGGGTGCTGACCTCTGCAGGGCGCAGGGCAGGGATGGGGCGAAGGAGCCGACGGCAGCTCCCGGGCTCGGCCCATCTCGGCCACCACCGCTGTCCCCCGCGACCCCGAGCCCCCCGTGCTGCACGGCGCTCCCCAAAGCCATTGCTGCGCAAACTGCAGCCCCGGCTCCGAGCGCTCCGTTTGGAGGGAAGGAGCAGCTTTGGGGAGGACACACGGAGCGGCACCGGGGCTCAGCGGGGCCGTCGCCGTTCCACCTCCACCCCACCGCCAGCAGAGCAGGACGCGGAGCTGTGAGGGGCGCAGCGCTCAGTTCACACGGACGGCTGCAGAGCGACGCGTGCCCTGAGCTCAGCACAGCGGGTGCTTCCCACCGCAACGGGGCACAGAGCCCCGAGCACAGCCAGAGCCCAACCACCCGCACAGCGCCAACATCCCGCACAGCCCGAGCACGCAGAGCTCAGGACACTCGCGCAGCCCCAATCCCGGCGCTCTGGAAGCAGAAAGTGGAGCAGAGCACGCCAGGAGAGCCGGGCCGGCCGTCCTCCTCCCCACACACCGAGGATGCGGCGACCTCCTTCCCACCTGCGGCGCCGGATCCCGATTTAGAAGCAGAGGAACCCGCGGGCGGCAGCCGTGCCGTGCCGGGGAAGGTCCGCCCGGGAGGCGCTCGGCACCGCCGCACCGCGGCCGCACGACGCGCTCCGCACGCACGCGGGGGCTCCGCGGGGACGGAGGGGTCGAGCCGCTCCCGCACGGCGCTCCTCCTCACCGAGATGCGGGAGGGCAGAGCGCCCGCGTCGGCGGCAGAGGGAAGCGGTGCGGAGGGAGAGCCGAGCAAAACTGCGGGGACGCGGGGGAAGAGAAAGCGTCAGGAGAGGCTCTGCCCCACAAGCAGGGGGGCACGCGGCTGTCCGACGGGGGGAGGCGATGCAACGCCTCATAACGCACAGCGCGGGGGGGTGCGGGGCCAAACCCCCGACGTGAGGGCAGTGGGATAAGGGCAGACGTGGAGGGAGGGTGGGTGCAGGGGTGGAGGGAGCGCGGGCACGGACGTGGCAGCGGCTGTGAGGTGCCTTCAGAGCACAGCCCAGCCCTGGCCCCACACCCAGCAGAGCCCCTGACGGCGGAGCGTTGGGGTCGCAGCATCTCAGAGGGCCGTGGGCTCCGAGCAGCCTCTGCTCTTCACCCTCAGGTGAGGCGGGCACCGGGACCGACCCCGGCCCCACACGGGCTCGGATACAGGGCGAGAGCGGAGGGCACCCCGACCCCGACATCCAGCATGGACCCCACGTGGGGCACGTCGGGGTCGCGGCAGCCCCACCGCCCCCGTGCTCCTAACCCCGCAGCGAGGAAGGCACCGGGGCCGAGCCCGGCCCTAAAGGAACTCAGTTATGGGCCGGGAGCGGCGCTCAGCCCTCGGGTCGCCGCAGCCCCGGCGCTCCGTGCGGCTCGGGGGGGTCGGCGCTGCCCCCGAGGGACGGTCGAGCTCTGACGTGGGGGCGGCAATCCCCGAGAGCTTTTCTTGGGGAGGGGACACGGGGGTCGCAGCCCCCTGCAGACGGCAGGGAAGGAGGGGAGCCGGCAGCCCACGGCTCAGCAGGGCGGGAGAGCGGGGCCCGGAGGAGGGGTCGGGGTCACCCCCACCGCGGGGGTCTCGCGGACCCCCTCCCTTCCCGGGCTCCCGGGACCCCCGCTAGGAGGCCTCGGGGGCGGCGGGCCCAGCACGGCCCCGGCGCCGCGATGGGGGCAGCGCTGCCCGCCGGCCGCTCCGCGCGGAGCCCCGGCCCCGCTCTGCGAGGCGCCGAGGGCCGCGGCTTTCCCCCGGGCCCGCCCCCGGCCCGGCCTCTCGGAGCGCCCTTGGCTTACCGGCAGCTTGGGGCTGACCTCCCCTTTGCAGCTGTGGCAGAAGAAGCGGTGCTGGGACACGGCGGCCGCCGCCGCCGCGGAGGCCTCCGCCATCTTCTCTCTCCGCCTCCTCTGCCGGCTCCCTGCCGTCAGTCCTCCGGCCGGGCAGCGAGGCGGCGGCCCGACGGATAGAGCGGCGGCCCGACGGATAGAGCGCCGGCACTTCCGGTCCTCCCGGCCGCTCCGAGAGAGCGCGGCGTCACGGCAGCACGACGAGACGGAGCGGGTAGAGCGGCACGTAGCCGCGGTCCTCCAGAGCGGCGGCGCCGAGGAAGCGGAAGTAGTCATCTGGGCGCCGGAAATGGTGTTCGCCGCGGTGGTCGCGTGGGTTTAAGCCGGGCCTCGGTGAGAGCGGGGCGCCGTGGGGGCGAGGAGTCCGGCGTTGCCGCGGAGCTGGGAGGGACGCGGGGATCCCGGCAGCGCCGCGAGCCCGGGGCGGGGACGTGGGGACCCGGGAACCCCGGCAGGAGCTCCGTGTGGGTGGGCGCGGCCCCCGGCGGTGATCTACCCCAGAAGGGGCGGGGGGGGGCGAGCGGCGGTGGCGGGGGGGAAATGTCTCGCTTCCCTCTCTCCCTCTCTCCCTCTCTCCCTCTCTCCCTCTCGCCCCCTCCCCACTCTGGAACTGAGTCATCGAGAAAATGGGATTTTTATTTTTTTAATTGGTAAAAGGAGGATTTCAGCCCCGGATCCCCTCCCCATCCACTGGAGAATGGGATTTTTCCTCCCAAAACCCCTCCCTTAACGAAGAGTTTTCACCCCAAAATCCCATTTCCTCTGCCCTCACAAAATTCCTCCTCCCGTAAAACCCATCCCCAAACAGCTCCTTTCTGCCCCCAGAGCTGCAGCGAACAGCGGTTCCCCTCCCCCCCCCCGCATCCCAGAAGCTGCCCGGTGCCGGGGGTCAGTGGGGGGGGTTGGGGGCTTTGTGGCCGGGGGTCTCAGTGCCACGGCCGCCCCCAGAGCCGCGCTGAGAACCACAGGGCTCCGCTCTGCTCCCCAGCCGTGATCCCAGCTGTGCCACCATGACGCAGGCGGAGATAAAGCTGTGCTCCCTGCTGCTGCGAGAGCATTTCGGGGAGATCGTGGAGAAGGTGGGGACGTACCTGGTGAGGACGGGCAGCCAGCCGCTGCGGGCCATCTGCGCCGACACCGGGCTGGCATTGGACCAGGTATGGGGGGCAGCGGGGGGCAGCGGGGGCCCAAAAACGGGCCGGGGCACCTCGAGGGCTCTGCGAGCGCGTGACCAACTGAGAGCTCCTCGGGCAGGTGAGGAAGGCGCTGTGCGTCCTCATCCAGCACAACCTGGCCGCCTACCAGCTGCAGAAGCGCGGCTGCGTGGAGTACGAGGCTCGGTGCCGCCGGGTGCTGCGCATCCTGCGCTACCCGCGCTACATCTACACGGCCAAGGCGCTGTACGGCGACACCGGGGAGCTGCTGGTGGAGGAGCTGCTCCTCAACGGCAAAATGACGCTGAGCGCCGTGGTGAGGAAGGTGGCGGATCGGCTGACGGAGACCATGGAAGGTGGGCGCTGCTCCCCGTGCGGGGACCTGGCGAGGGTGGAGGCTGCCGGTGTGGAGCGCTGCATCCGGCTCTGGGCTCCCCGGTCCAAAAAGGACAGGGAGCTCCTGGGAAGGGCCACGAAATGGTGAAGGGCCTGGAGCTTCTTCCTGTGGAGAAAGGCTGAGGGAAGTGGGTCTGTTCAGCCTCGAGGAGGCCGAGAGGGGACCTGAGCCAGGTCTGTAAATATGGAGGTGTGGGGCAGAGCGGCGAGGCCGGGCTCTTTTCAGCAGTGTTGGAGACAGGACGAGGGGAACGGCCAGCGACTGCAGCGCAGCAAGTCCTGCACAAACGTGCACAAGAACTGCTTTGGTGAGGTGGCGGAGCGCTGGCGCAGCTGCCCAGGGGCTGCTGGAGTCTCCTTCTCTGCAGATGCTCCAGACCCGCCTGCACACCGACCTGTGCGACCCGCTGCAGGAACTGCTTTGGCAGGGGGTTGGACTCCGTGATCTCTGCAGCTCCCTTCCAACCCCGGCGATTCTGTGATTCTGTGATGGAAGGGAGCGGAGCCCCAGGGGGGGCGGAGGGTTTTTGCTCATCGGAAGCAGTTGGAAAACTCCTTCAGCTGCTTGCTGATTCTCCTGCGTAAACCAGCCAGCTTTTTGGGCAGCGGTGCTTTGCGATTTCTTCCTTGCCTTCAGCCTGCTCAGGAAATTGATTTTGCCCCGTGTCCCCCTGGCTGGGCGGCCCCAGCGGTTACTGAAGTGACACGGGGTGATTTCTGACTGCAAATAGTAATAAAAGCGACAAGGGACGTCGGGGGGTTGAGGAGAAACCTGTATTGTGGAAGGAAAATGGCGAGACGGCGGCGCCGGTTGGATTCCTGTAGCCCTGGGCCCTGGAGGTGCTTGAGGTCGGCTGAAGCCCTGGGCAGCCTGAGCTGATGCCCAGCTTAGCGGCCGGCAGCCCGGCCCGTGGCAGGGTTGGAACTGGACGGCCTGTGGCTCCCTTCCATCCAGGCCGTTCTGTGGGATGCTCTCAGGGCGGCTCTGCAGTGCTGTGGGAGCCTCCCGACACACAGCCTGCACCCGGAGAGCCTCCAACCCGCTGCCATGGGGCTGCAGACAACAACCGGCCCACGGCAGCTGGGAGCAGTGGCAGCTGGGAGCAGTGGCAGCTGGGAGCAG